TCCAGATTTATACTGGAGCTGGCCGTGGGTTGAATCTGATCTTTGAGATGGTTATACTACATAATGCAATTCTAAAAAAGGGGGAGATCAGGGTTAAAAAAAAAAAAAAAGAAAACCAGGAAAGAAAGAGACAAGTAGGAGAAGCGGCACTGAGAAAGTTTGAAACCAAATAATGGCTGCAATTATAGTCTTCACCTAATCAACGTCATTAAAAAGGGTTGTTTTTAAACTTCATCAGAAAATCAGTCAAGCGTGACGCTGGCAGTTCCACGTCTGTGGAGTCTGTCAACATCTACTTGCAATTAGCTAAGAATTGAAGACTTCTTCTTTTCCGTCAATAGACTGGAAGCATTGTGATAAAAAAACAGTTGCCAAATTCGGGCAAATTTGGTAGAACTTGAATAAACGTTTGCTAAAAATGGCCGAGGCCGTATCAATAAAATGAACACGCCTGTGTTATGTAAAGAAGCTGAATCACTTGATAGATGTGAAACGGGTGATGTTCAAATACTTCAACAGTTGAGCTTTGTTAGGATGGGGAATCTGAAGGTCATGGCTTCGTTTCACGGCTGCGTCATTCGGTTAGCGCAGTTTTGACGGAGATTCCTGGGGATTGTCACGAAGCTACGGAGTTGGCGAATTGTGTGAAGCTCTCGGTAAGAGGCTAGTCGATTTGCGAAGAGAGTTCTATCCATCAGCGATAAAATCCGGTGCAACAAAGTCCATCCTCGCGACTTTAACTTTCGATAATTTAAACGAGACTTTAACCCAATAATAATTTCAATGAAACAGGACATCCTCATCATCATGTAGCAGGTCCTTTGCAGAACGTCGCTCTCATCACGGTCTGTCTGAAAGAAACTTGGTCTCTAGCCAGCTCTCCCGCTTCATGTACTTTCATACTCAAGGAGTCACTTATATCCTGTGCTTATCTTCGTGTCTCGTCGGCCCCTGCCCTTCCTTCCTTTGGGTGGATTACAGCGTTCCCTGACGAATATTCAGTTCGTTGATAAATCGGTACATTGTGTCTGCTGATTAGCAAGACAATATAACTTGCAACCTCAGTAGCCCCTGGTTTTCTTCAATGTGTAGTCTGTTTTGTTAAATTCTAATCTCAGTTCTTTTCGTTCAACAGTGTTGGTAATCTAGGGTGGGTATAGCTGATAAAAAAAAAATATACATTACATATGTATCTTAATTGTTATATGTGCTATGACTAGTGGCGTCGGTAAAAATGCCCCTCCACAACCATATCTTTATGCTCATATACATATGAAGTATACATGTGTATATTACAGAAATATGTAGTTATGTTTACATTATGTACACTCACTTACTCGTTCACACACGCACTTACACATTGACTCTTACTCACAGATGACTCCCACACACATAATATGCCGCACAGAGATATACAGTGACAAGCACAGGACCGCGCTCACACACACACACACACACGCACTTACACACTCATTACTCATGACTTATACAACACACCCTTCACTGGTTTCGTGTTTTGATTATCTCATCAAGTCAACCTTCTCCTCTTGTCAGCATCGATCTCTCGACTTGTCAACACCCTCCCCCACTCCCCCACCTACTTTTACCCTAATATTGTTAAAATACTTCTTTCATCTTGTTATAGTCCGTTGCAAAAGTTGTGCACAACTTTAAAAATCTGTAACCGATCGGTATGTATTGTTGAAATTTGCGGTGTATGAAAAAAAAAAAAAAAAAAAGAACAGATACCGATTCACAGCATGTGATGAGAATGCTTACACTTTATGGAGGATGCGAATTTAGCAAAATATCAAATTTGCGTATGTTTTAGAGGTAATCCAAGCAAGGCGCTCGTTTTTTTTTTTTTTTTTTTAATTAATAGTGAAGTTAATATTTCACTTACTATTGTAATCTAATTTGTGCAAAATAGTTCGATGTGATCCTACAAGAGTTTTCGAGATATTTATTAGTTTCATGGCAGGAACGACATTTGAAATGCACTATAACATTCCTCTCCAATAACGTCAACATTCCTAAACCCAGCTATTCTTGTCAACATCCATCTTTCCTCTTGTCAACGTCTATCTCCCTTCTTTTCAAAATCGATCTCCCAGATTGTCAACACTCCTTACCCATCTTGTCAACACTCCTTTCCCTTCTTGTCAACACCCAACTCCCATCTTGTCAACACTCCTTTCCCTTCTTGTCAACACCCAACTCCCATCTTGTCAACACTCCTTTCCCTTCTTGTCAACACCCAACTCCCATCTTGTCAACACCCAACTCCCATCTTGTCAACACCAATCTCGCATCCTGTTAAAACTCCTCCCATTCTTGTCAACATCATCTCTCATCTGTCAACACTGATCTCCTATCTTGTCAACATTGATATTCCATCTTGTCAACATTGATCTTCCACTTTTTCAACATCGATCTTCCATCTTGTCAACATTGATCTTCCACTTTGTCATCATCGATCTCCCATCTTGCAACATTGATCTCCCACTTTGTCAACATTGATCTTCCATCTTGTCAACATTGATCTTCCACTTAGTCAACATTGATCTCCCATCTTGTCAACATTGATCTCCCACTTTGTCAACATTGATCTTCCATCTTGTCAACATCGATCTCCCATCTAGCAACATTGATCTCCCACTTTGTCAACATCGATATCCCATCTTGCAACATTGATCTCCCATCTTGTCAACATTGATCTCCCACTTTGTCAACATTGATCTTCCATCCTGTCAACATTGATCTTCCACTTAGTCAACATTGATCTTCCATCTTGTCAACATTGGTCTCCCACTTTGTCAACATTGATCTTCCATCTTGTCAACATCGATCTCCCATCTAGCAACATTGATCTTCCACTTTGTCAACAACGATTTCCCATCTTGCAACATTGATCTCCCACTTTGTCAACATCGATATCCCATCTTGCAACATTGATCTCCCACTTTGTCAACATCGATATCCCATCTTGCAACATTGATCTCCCACTTTGTCAACATCGATATCCCATCTTGCAACATTGATCTCCCACTTTGTCAACATCGATCTCCCATCTTTCAACATTGATCTCCCATCTTTCAACATCGATCTTCCACTTTGTCAACATCGCTATCCCATCTTGCAACATTGATCTCCCACTTTGTCAACATCGATCTCCCATCTTTCAACATCGATCTCCCACTTTTCAACATCGATCTCCCACTTTGTCAACAACGATTTCCCATCTTGTCAACATTACTCTCCCATCTTGCCAACATTCTCTCCTATCACTGTACTAGTCCCCATAGTCAAGAACAATATTAATTGCACTACACAAGGCAAGACACGGGACACCAGTAATATGTACATACAGAAAACACTATGAACGACATATGGGAGATATTGCACATCAGATACTACACGAAGGTGCTTAAAAAAAAATTAAAAGTGTGATAAATTGCAAATTCCATGCCTTAGTCTCGTAACCTGTCCATATTTTTGTAAGGATGTCAAGAGTGTTAGGCACGTACCGTCAACGTGCAGGTGAACGCCGTCACGTCATAATGACAGTTTAAAGACGACCGCCCCAGTTTTGACATGTATCAAAGAGGAGCAGCGTTCTCTCATTAATAACTGAAGGATTGAAGCCTGTAAATATTCATCAGCGAATCAAGGTCTAGTGCATTTACGTCAGTGCTTATCTGTATAATTTATAATCACACTTTTAAGGTTTTTATTTGAAGCCACATCGCACATCTAAAGGTTAACATTAGTGGCCATCTGTTGTTGACTCCACATTGTAGCATAAGACCCCAATCAAATCACTTGACACCCTTCTCTGTTTTAAGTTCTGTTATTATGTGCCCGAAGAAAATGATGTACGTACAATGAGATGATTTCAATTTAAGTGAAGAAGTAAAACCAAATGTCCGGGCAATCACTAATATCAACAGTTTCATGACAAAGTGAAAACCTTAACTTAGACGCACAGTGAATGTTGAATGTTGAATTAGGAATCGACATCACATCACTAGGTACACTCCCATAAGTGCTCAGTCTCATCTTCAGCAGCAAGCGAAGAGTTCCAATTCCGATGGTACCAGTAACCATCTGATTGTATATCTGTCTCATCCTTTCCTTGAGTGTTGGGCGTCGGCCAGATCCCCTGGTAACTCCTCGCAGCGCCATTCTCCTTAGACCGTAATGATCTATCCTCAGCACTGTTTACTCACTCCCAAAGGGCCCTCACAACATCTAACTTGTAGACGCATAGTGAGAAGAGACTGACTGAGAATCCCCAAACAGGCAATGGAATGGGAAAAAAAAGATAACTTCAAGAAACAAGAGCGTCCAAGAGAAACCTAAAGGCGAACGTTGATAAGAGAAACTAAAGATGCTGGACTGATTTCTATCCATGATACTGAAGTGAATACAGAGGATAGAACGAAATTGAATAATAGACGGCAAGCCTTACATGAGATTATCGAACAATAGAGAAAGTAACTGTAAGCCATGTATAACATTCTCGCACAATAGAGATTGGCTGCTAGCCCTATGTGCCCTTATCGTATACCTGGAAAGATACGATGTCGATACTTAAAGCCAAGAACCAAGACGCAAACAACACGGCTTCTGAATGAGCCGTGTTACTTCTAACTAATCCGCTGCAGATTCAGCTGTTTCACTGTAATCGCATCTTAACATCAGACTAACGTTAACATTCAACTGTGAATTTTATAAGTTCACAGTTATAATTTCAGTGAATCTTAGTCTCTGAATCTAAAGTTGAACCTAAACCAAATTTGACATTCAGAACACATTTTAAAAACATCCTCAAATACATCTAGATTTCAGAATCGATTAACCCTCAGAAAAATATTGCAACCAGAATCTATTGTTAATCCTGGAACGTATCTGATATTCATAGCTCGTTAACACTTCAACATAATAACCCGGAACCGGATGTGAATGTTTAAATAAATCCCAGCTGATGAGTTATTTCATCAAAACAACACGGAAGTTATCACTAACAACAGAATCCAGGGAGATGCTAAAGTCTCTGTCTTTGAGCTGTGTGTATCATCGGCCCTAAAAGAATCTCTATGATCAAGTGACGTGGATTTGGCGTTAGCCATTTCAAGCGAGTCTCGGAAACTGCTCAAATGGTCGTTCTGTGGCGTATGTTCAAGTTTGACCAAACGTGAGCCCGAAACAACCGATACTGAGTGCTCAGAGTCTGATTCAGCCTGTGAGTTATTCGCGTGGACATTATCGTGACCATCTTCATCTCCAGTGGAATCGAATTCTCCACCTGCATATTCCGTGACCTCTGTTAACAGCAGTGTCGGGTCTGGAGGCACAGACTTGCACGTCTCCTGTTCAGTTCTAAACGTTAGTTTTAACAGAGGTTGACGAAGTCCTGTTCGGGCGAAGTTAAAACTCTTTTGGTCACACATACCCACGTCAAGCACGTACGCTTCTATCGGATAGAACTGGCTATAGACAAAGCAGAACGCGTCTGTGCGGTTGCGTATGTTTTGTAAAATTAAAATCCTTTCCCAATAGTGGCCTTCGTAGCTAGCCAGACATCTGAAGTCCCTGGATGATGGGATTAAAGATCCACATGTGTTGAATTCCAGACGAACCTTACTGGAGTCTTCACAATGCTGGTAGAAGCTTCCAGGACAGACATATCCTTGTGGAAGTGTAGCACTGATTGTGTGGACAAATGTGAGGTTGCAATGAACGGCATCGGGATATCGTCTTTGGGATATGATAGGTTTACCCGTTCCTTGATGTGATCGATACCTATCATCTATGGGTGATGAATCAGGATGGAATCTATCTTCGCTGCAAATGGATTTCCCGAGGTCGTTCTCAAACGTTGGCCAAACATAGCTTTGGCTTAAACTGTACTGCAACACAGAAGGCCCGATTCGATGAAGCTTGATGCATGTGTACCTGGGTCGACAGCCATTTTGAAAGAGGGATATTGTTGTGAAAATTGTAGATTTTTGTATAGGATTGTTCGGAAATGTGACACACAGGAAGTTACCCACACCATCTATGGATAAATTGGACGTTCTTATGTAGATATTTTTAAATCCAGATGAATCTTGCAGAAACCAAGCACCCATGACACTTTCTGGGTACTGGCACGAGCTCCGGGGTGAAACAGGGTCGCACATGCCACATGACCTCTGACATTCCTGTTTTACATAAGTATTGCACGTGACCTTGCTGCACTGGTCGTATTCATCCTCGCACAGGGTGGGAAATTCACGCCGGTGGAGCTGCAAGTCGAAGAACTTCAGATCCCTGACGGAGCTGAACTGATCAAGGTCCGACCTGCATGTCAGATCGCTGAAAAGGTAGGCTGTGATGTTCTGGCGTCGGTGAATGGGCATAATGAGGCACCAGAGATCGGTGTCTTCATTTCGACGCAGGACAACGAAGAGGTGTCTGTTGTCCTTCCAGTGAGCAACACAAATTGTCCGTTGTTTAACATACATCCTGATGTCCGGCAGACAGTTGCTGGACACGAAGTTAAAACTGATCCCCTCTCCCCCCAAACATTCTGCTTCCATCCTCATGGGTCGGAGCATAAGGTTGCACCCGTTTTCCCCGAGCTGGGAGTCAGAAATTTTCATATCGAACCCTCCACTAAAAGGACATGGGGTGTAATCTTCCTCTAATGTCCCGTACCAAATCAGAGGCCAAGGGTCAGTGATAAGATTCTTATCATCACACAAACCGAGGTCAAAAATCTTCAACTCGTGTGACCACATAATCTGCACAACGGAAGGACTTCTAAACACAAACCGGACACATCGATAGAAACTGTTGACCAATTGATCCTGACGTTTCAGCAACAACTTGCCTTCAAATTCATAAGCACACTTCCATCTCACAGACGGCCGCTCACTTCGTGTGTGGTGAATCTCCATTACAGTATTTCTTATGTAATATTCCACATCACGTGATCCGTCAGCCCTAATGTGGCTGTACCAAGGAGGATCTTTGGCTTCCATGTGAAGGGTGCTCGGGAAACTACAACTGCTGGCCAGGTGCCTCAGCAGAAAGACTGCAAGTAACAAGAGCGAAACTTGGATGTTGCCAGGCATTTTTTTCGTGGAGCGATTGAGTTGTCACCTTGTTGAAAGTACTGCACAATGACCCATTACGTCACTTCCTGGGGATGAGAGAATATTGACTTGAGAACAATACGGAGGCATGACACAAATAAAAAATGTAAAAATAAAAATAAAAACATTAGCATCAAAATGTAGTAATGATTATATGTCAAAAGTGGTGCCTATGTGGGGATGCAATTGTTTGTTATTTGAAGCCCCACCCTGGCTTCTGCCGGGGGCCCTGAAAATAGCCTGGCCATAAATAAGGCCTAACGGCTGAAAAGGGTTTCTGGGACGTCTCCACGGATAATCCTCATCCGCATGGTGGCACTTTGTGTCACCGGGTGTTTATCGCTTGTGTGATATCCTGGTGGGGTACAACTACCTACCTACCAAGTAATGATCAATGATTTTGAGTATGCAGATGTTTAGTCCAATTTGTTCCTCGAAAGTTCACGAGTAGTAGCTGGTAATATATGGAAGAGACACATGAGATGGAATTAGCCGCACGGTTCTTTCTAGGCTGCCTTCGTTTCTCTGTCAGTGCAACCTCCACTTCCCCGCAGGCCGATGCGCCATGCTTGAGGACTATTAGACAATGATAAACAAACAGAGAATACGACAGCGAGAAAGCAACATATAAGAATGAGAAAACAGTACACAAAAAGACAATGAGAAAACAGTACACAATAAGACAATGAGAAAACAGTACACAATAAGACAATGAGAAAACAGTACACAATAAGATAATGAGAAAACAGTACACAATAAGACAATGAGAAAACAGTACACAATAAGATAATGAGAAAACAGTACACAATAAGATAATGAGAAAACAGTACACAATAAGACAATGAGAAAACAGTACACAATAAGATAATGAGAAAACAGTACACAATAAGATAATGAGAAAACAGTACACAATAAGACAATGAGAAAACAGTACACAATAAGATAATGAGAAAACAGTACACAATAAGATAATGAGAAAACAGTACACAATAAGATAATGAGAAAACAGTACACACGACGATGAGAAAACAGTATACAATAAGATAATGAGAAAACAGTACATAATAAGACAATGAGAAAACAGTACACAAGACAATGAGAAAACAGTACACAATAAGACAATGAGAAAACAGTACACAATAAGACAATGAGCAAACAGCACACAATATGACAATGAGAAAACAGTACACATTAAGACATTGAGAAAACAGTACACAAAAAGACATTAAGAAAACAGTACACAATAAGACAATGAGAAAACAGTACACAATAAGACAATGAGAAAACAGTACACAATAAGACAATGAGAAAACAGTACACAATAAAACAATGTGAAAACAGTACACAATAAGATAATGAGAAAACAGTACACAATAAGACAATGAGAAAACAGTACACAATAAGACAATGAGAAAACAGTACACGATAAGATAATGAGAAAACAGTACACAATAAGACAATGAGAAAACAGTACACAATAAGATAATGAGAAAACAGTACACAATGTGACAATGACAAAACAGTACACAATAAGACAATGAGAAAACAGTACACAATAAAACAATGAGAAAACAGTACACAATAAGACAATGAGAAAACAGTACACAATAAGACAATGAGAAAACAATACACAAAAAGGCAATGACAAAACAGTACACAATGTGACAATGAGAAAACAGTACACAATAAGACAATGAGAATACAGTACACAATAAGACAATGAGAAAACAGTACACAAAAAGACATTGAGAAAACAGTACACAATAAGAGAATGAGAAAACAGTACACAATAAGACAATGGGAAACAGTACACAATAAGACAATGAGAAAACAGTACACAAAAAGACAATGAGAAAACAGTATACAATTAGATAATGAGAAAACAGTACACAATAAGATAATGAGAAAACAGTACACAATAAGACAATGAGAAAACAGTACACAATAAGACAATGAGAAAACAGTACACAATAAGATAATGAGAAAACAGTATACAATAAGACAATGACAAAACAGTACACAATAAGACAATGAGAAAACAGTATACAATTAGATAATGAGAAAACAGTACACAATAAGATAATGAGAAAACAGTACACAATAAGACAATGAGAAAACAGTACACAATAAGATAATGAGAAAACAGTACACAATAAGATAATGAGAAAACAGTACACAATAAGATAATGAGAAAACAGTACACAATAAGAGAATGAGAAAACAGTACACAATAAGACAATGGGAAACAGTAAACAATAAGACAATGGGAAACAATATACAATAAGACAATGGGAAAACAGTACACAAAAAGACATTGAGAAAACAGTACACAATAAGATAATGAGAAAACAAGATAAATAAACAGCGAGACTACTAGAAAACATAAAATAAAACAACATAAAAAAGTTAAAACTAAACAGAATGAGCAAAAAGGATAAATAAGACACACACAAACAAAACACAATCCTAATGTAAGTGAAAAAAATAGTACACATGAGCGATGAGTAAACGACAGAGGACAAAAACGACACAAAATAAAAGAACTAGACAATAACATAAAATTAAAACAATGAGAAAACAACATAAAAAAGACAAAAGGGGGAAAAACACGAGACATTATCTGGAGTATCGTAGTCTAGACAAGAGCTAACATAAGACAGAACAACCCAAAACTGTCAGAGTTCCTCAGACGTCAAGTACAAAGGGATTAGGCTGACAGGGACATGGGAGTTTTCAAAGGCCATTTGGAAATTCATTCACATAAACGGTCTGTCGGTCTGGGGTTTTTCATGGCGGAGCCGAAATTGAAGGACGTTTCCAGGATGTTATTAGAATTTTCGTGACAGGTAGATCAGACGTCAATGTTTGTTTTGGGGATGTAAATAAGTTGCCGTTGACATGTTTTAGGAAATATCATCAACGTCATCATCATCGTCATCGTCATCATCATCGTCATCGTCATCATCGTCATTATCATCATTATCATCATCATCATCATCGTCATTATCATCATCATTGTCATCATCATCATCGTCGTATCATCATCATCGTCATCATTATCATCATCATCATCATCCTCTTGTGTAGTTATACGTCACATAAGGCTCGTAACTGAGTGCTTCATTCCGTTCTTCTTCTTCTTCTTCTTCTTTTTCCATTCTTCTTCACCTCGTTCCAATCTTTTTCTTCTTCTTCTTCTTCTTCTTCTTCTTCTTCTTCTTCTTCTTCTTCTTCTTCTTCTTCTTCTTCTTCTTCTTCTTCTTCTTCTTCTTCTTCTTCTTCTTCTTCTTCTTCTTCTTTTTTTTCTTCTTCTTGTTCAGCGTTCGCTCCTAAAAGGGCTGTTGGCACATTGTGTTGCGGTTTACAGTAGGGCTGTACCGAATATTCGCTTCGTATTCGCTTCGGGGCCGAATAGTGGACCTACTAGCTATTCGGTATTCGGCCGAATAGTGGCGGTCGGGCCGAATACGAATAGTGATTTCTGCATACACTGCGATGGACTAAAATAACTCTCTCATTAATAATGTCACAATTTATAGCCGACTTTTCTTGATTTTCGCCGCGGCACCCCTGTCATACGCACCCAGTTTTAGAACCTCTGCTGTAATGCCTCGGAGTCAGGCGCTGTTACCACGCAAACGGGTCGCCGTTTTTCCCGTTACGAAAGATTTAGGCATCGCTACTGTTGTGTTAAAGAAGGCATGAAGAAACTTGAAAGTGTATCTGTGTGTGTGAGAGAGAGAGAGAGAGAGAGAGAGAGAGAGAGAGAGAGAGAGAGAGAGAGAGAGAGAGAGAGAGAGAGAAAGCATGCATTTTTTTGTCCTTTCGGGGTGTCTTTTCCCAAATCAAATTGAAGATATTGCAAACGAGAATATGAAGGTGCATTTAAATTACATTGAACGAACGCCTTAACGAAAAATGATTTAAATGCGAATTTGGCACATGGATAAAATCAGATAAAAGATGCATTACTAAAATAAAAAACAAAATAGGGCAGGCTAAAAATGCATTTTATATTTAAAAAAAAAAAAGAACATCTTGTGCAATATATCGTTGTCTTGCTTGCTACATACATCCAGTTTTAACATATGGCTATGAGTCCTGGACAATCGGTAGCCAGGCCAAACAATTTTTTGAGGCCTCAGAGATGTTGTTTTACAGAACAATGCTTAAAATACCTTGGACAGCTTAAAAAAAGCAACCACTAGGTTTTGAAAGAGGCGGGAGCCCGACGACAACTAATCGCAGACATCAGAAGAAGACAATCATCATACAGAAAGAGTGAAAATGGAACATGTGGTGACCACTGGAAAGATTTGTGGAAGGAGAGATAGAAAAAGACAACAAGAGAAGATTCTTGACAGTCGTTGCATGTCATGGAGGTGTGTCAGCACACAAACTGATACATGCTGCAGGAGATCGCAGATTGTGGCGAGGCAAAATCGCCACACCAGTCGGCGAGGCACCTGATGATGATGATACACTATTCGTATTCGTATTCGGCCGAATAGTTGGTCACACTATTCGTATTCGGCCGAATAGTGAAAACCACTATTCGGTAAAGCCCTAGTTTACAGCTAGGCTACTGACAAACACGTCCGATGTAACCCAAATCCGTTTTAGTCGCTTTTTAGGACAGACTTGTTAGGATTATCTACCCCCCCCCCCCAACCCTCACAAAATGGGGTCCTGAGGCCCATACAGGAGTCATTCCGTTATATCATGTCATTATGATCATTGCTTTATTTACCACTCTTTGGGGGGGGGGGGAGGCCCCCTAGTTTTGGCGGTCTAGAAGTAGGAGCCTGGAGCCCAAGAAGTTAGGGCCGCGTAGCTAGTGCTGTCGCCACCAAATGTGCAGGTTAGGATTTTAATTTTTGCCCCTGACAGAAAAACATCCATCACTATGCCGAGGATTGGAACTTGGATCTCCTGAATAAAAGTGCCAGCTGCTCTGCAGTCTATCCAGTTCAATACTT